AAAAAAAAAAAAAAAAAAATTATATCAACTTCAAATTTCAGTATCCATAAATGAAGCTTTACCGGAACACAACCCTGTTTATTCATTTACATATTATTTATGGCTGCTCTGGTGCTCCATGGGCAGAGATGAATAGTTACAAGAGAAACCATATGGTCTAACAAAAACCAGAACATTTACTATCTGGCCTTTCACATAGTTTGCCAACTCAATGTAGAGTAATTGGCATCCATACGGATTTCTAAAAAAAGGCCTTTCATGAACATCTCAATAAATGATAGAGTCTAAGGCAAGACTGCAGATCCCTTCCTCACTCAATCTTTCGCCCACTGAAATCAAATCAGTATCATTTTAACCAACTACATATTGGATTTCTGCATATGATTTTGTATGAAGGGGTATTAAAGGAAAATAATAAACTTAGTTTATAAATTCTAACTGGGGTACAAATTGCACAAAATAAGTAGCCAAGAGTTTATAAAAGTACTTAATTGGACCTCAGGGTTGGTTAAGGTACTCCTTCCCTCCTTTGTCAGGAGGATCATTCGAAGTCCTTTCAACCCTCTAGTTACAAGATGAGCCACAGATGAAAATATATTTATAATGACTTCCCTACCCATTCTCTATCTTCCTCCATTCTTAGATACAGTGATAGTTTAATAGATAATCAATTAGGATGTAACTTCCTTATGAAGAAAACTAAAGCTATGATGCACTATAAAACATATAGCATTTTAGGGCAGCCAATTATCCAAAATATTATTAACTGGAAAATTAAAAATACCTGTTGGTTATCTTGTTTGGGATAGGAAGGAGGCTATTATTAGCTATAGTAAGCACCATGTCACTTTACATTGTCCATTTATGTTCACATGATGGCAGACTGCTCTCTTTGACAATGAAGAGGCATAGAATCTATCTGTTTTACTTTGGTAAACTGACTTTGGCTATCAATCAACATACTTAATGTCCAAGTCTTATAAAAATTTTCAAACATGTCTAGAATTTAGTTTTTCCATAAAATCAAAGCACTGTACACTAAAAATAGAGAAATACAAGTCAGTGAAATCAAATCTTGGCTCACTTGAAGAAATAAGAGTCTGTGGGCAACTGGTTGTTTCTTAGGTCACTTGAGGGGACACATAGTCCCTAAGGAGCAAAAGAATGAACTGGTGCTGATATATAACTGATAAGTATCGGTAACAGGCCACTGGCCATTTCAATTCCCAAGGAATGTAAATTACCTTTTGGCCTATATATGTACATACAAATATGCAACCTGCAAACTTCTGAGGACAGATATCAACTATTATTTTCTCATTTTTGTTTTTAGAGTCAAAGTAGTAAACTTACAGATACATCTAAAAGCAATTTAAAACTAGCTTCATAACATATGCTATAAGTAAATAAATACCAAAACCTGGTAACACCAGCATGGTGAAAAGAAAAGCTAAATTAAAAAGGCATTCCTTTACACAACTTAGTCTAGACAAAATACACATTGCTATATGATGTTACACTAATTATTCCAATAATTATTTACTTACGAAGAGAGACACAATGGTTTCATTACATTAAATCTTTCTCTTATTTGCCATCCCCACCTTTCTATTCCATTATTGCCCCCTAATTCTTTCCCTTCCCAAGGAGATTTGAAATTAAGAAATAGCCTCTCTACCCTTCAATCTAGAATTAGCTTACCTTTTATTTGAACATACAAAGATTGGATTTCCCAGAGTTGTCTAGATTCCAGCTCTGGCAGGAAAGTCAAGTGGTTTAACCACAACCAGTTGCTTTTCTACTGGTGTTTAACTTGCCCCACATAAACTGATAACATAGCCTATTCTAAGGTCATTTATGTGAGATCTTAAGACTGAAAATACATTTTTAATTGCTAACCTTTTCTCCAACACATAATCCCTTTTTTAAGTCTCTTAACTAAATTAGATGCTGGAATTGATCCAGCCAAGTAACATCGAAAGAAAAAAAAAAAAACAAATGTAGGCATCTTTATCTACATACTTACCTTGATCCTGTCATAGGACCTCTTCCATCCTTGTCATATCCCCCACGCCCTCTACCTCCTCCCTGTGACCCGCCATATCCTCTATTATCTTCTCCATACCTACTCACATCACGACGGTCATCTACAAAAAAGAAAATATTACACACAAATAACAACTGTCATTTATAAGGCTTCAAATAACAATCTTAAGTGGCTCTTTAGGCCACACATATCCTTATAAAAAATGGCACATGCATACACAACTCAAATGAAAGTCATAGTAAAATCATTTGGAATTAAATGTTTTTGAGAATTGTATCCGTGTCAAATTCCATTCTGCTGAAGTGACACAGCAAAATCGTAATGTGGAACAGTATGAATTAAAATATAACCTTAGCTAAAAAACCTTAATAACTTAGATGAAAAGCACAACCCCAATGTTAGAAGTTAACTCTTTCTTCATTTCAGAAACACTTAAATGCAACTCAAGCATGGACGAGGAATAACTGAATCTTCAAACTGAGAGAAGATATTTAGTGAATCTGCTTCCACTTTTACTCATTGACTTACTCATTCAACTGCTGGTACCAGCAGTATTGTCAAATGATCAGAGTTCACTGAGACAACAAAGGAAATTCATATAATCAGCCATCAAAAACTCATGACCATTTGGGGGTCTCCAAGTTCAGAAGCAGAAATCTGATAAACTAGTTCTGATCACCATGAGAGGGAACCTATGTTCAAGGTCATCCTAAATTTTTACCACCAGTTGAAATCCTATGTGGTTCTTTTAATCAGAAATTCATACAAATAATTCTCTGAGGGGGAAAAAAAAATAATAATAGAGGTAAGTAAATCTTACCTTGTGTGTGGTGGCTGTAATTTTCCCTTTGTGAATGATAGGACTGCTGGTTTTGATTATAGGAATCATGCTGCTGATCGTAATTTGACTGCTCATCATATGAGCCTTGATGTTGATCAAAGCCTGACTGCTGGTCATATGAATCTTGTTGACCATAGTCTGACTGGTCATAGGAAGGTGCTCTTCCACCTTGGCTAAATAGAAATGGAGAACTTGAGAGGCTTCATAGGAAGATTACATTTGCTGTAGCAAGTTGACTGAAACTGATCTAAGAGTCCTGCCAGTTAGACATTAACCATATTTATGACTACCTTCTCATGGTAATTAGTTATCTACAATCGCCTGAAATCCCCTTCAAAAGACAATCCTGCCAACATTAAAGAGGTGCCACATTATGAAAAGAAAATATGTATCTTTGAAAACTGTAGGAAAGGGAAAAATTACTATGGTTTTTCACTATCTCCTTGAATTAAAAAAAAAAAAAGTAAAAGATGTTACGAAGTACAGTAATATGCCTGACTCTTTAATAAACATGTCACAAGAGCTGAGTCCTTTTAATAGTTACGTTGAAAGGCTCTATATTACTTAATTTTAACAAGTGTCATCTCTTAAAATATTTTTAGATATCTTGTCTTACAATTATCTTTAGAGCCTATAGTACAGTCTTCTAAACATCTTCAGTAATAGTAAATTTTAGAAAACATTAAAGGAACTTGCTTTTGTAATGCCATTTTTTTAAAATCTGAAAAGTCTATTAGGTAATGAGACTGCTTATTCTAGCAATTCGAAAGAAAAATTCGGAGCAATATGACTGTATTAATTAGACGTTCTCAGTGTGGGAATGTTAAAAGAGAACACTTAAATGGATTTGAGTTCCAATAGGTTTACTTATATGGGCTGGGTGGCGGGGACGGGGGGGACAAAAAAGATCTCATAACTTAATAGTTACATCTTATTCTTCACTAGAGGATCAGAACAATCTAATAAAAGGTTAGTATGTTCCCTAACTCCCTATTGAAAGCACAACATAACCACAGTCCAAACCCCAGTACTTTAAAACGACTGTCAAATCAAACCTAACATTTCTTTTCAGACTACATTTATAGGTCATGCTCCCAAAAATACGTAATTTATAAAAGGATTCTCCTTAAATTTAAAACCAACAAGGCTTGAAGAGTTATTTCTCTTAATGTAGTATGCCTTCTAAACATTATTCCCTTCATTTGTACTCTACTTACTACTTTTCAGAACACTCATATCTGTAAACCTGGTAATTTGACCTCATAAATCTTTCCTCAATGTTTTACTTAGAATAAATGTCTTCACTGTAGATAGAAAACACTAGAGACCTCAGCTTTTAGCCATGTCACTTGACAATAATTTCTTTACCTCTGTAAAATGGGAATAATTACTGACACTGTTTCATAGTAGTATCTGAAGATCAATTACATTAGAGAATGCAAAAGCATTTCAGAAAATGTAAAGCACAATTTTTAAAAAGTAACTTGCTTTTGTTAAGTAAAGAGCATAAAATTAAGTACAGGCTCTTCAAATCTGAAAGGTAAAAAAACTTTTTTTTTTTTTTTTT